TTACCTATTCCGAAATTGACCAAAATTCAGTGAGTTATAACAAGAAATAACAAACTCACTCACTCACTCATTCCTTCATTCACTCACTCAAACCTTTTGTAAACACCATATTAGTGTGTTAGAACCTTCATCATGAAGACATCAACAAAGTTATTCATTAACATCTACTATTCTTTACCTCGAAGGAATCACACGTGGATTGTGATACTTTGGAGGTGAAAGACCGTGAATAATGAGACCTAGGGATCGATACGACCTTCGTCAATTTACGGATAAAGAGATACTTAGAATCTTGCTGATCTACGTCCGAATTGATAAATTCTCTGTGGTAAAATGTCAAACCACTTCTACGAACGATTCGATTATGTTTTATGATCTTTTTTATTGGAAGTACTTTGCGTTTCTTAAATTACCATTTAAGAACAGGAAATTTATTACTTTTGAGATAAAATTGAACGAAATTCTTTATGGTTATTAGCTTTACAATAATTCACGATTCAGTTACAGGTTTGATAACAATTTCCCCTAGAGTGTGACGTAACACGATTTATTCTATTAATTATTGAAATTATTACTGATACTTTAAATTTTGTATTGATCCGAATGACTGAAATGAATGAGTTGGTACCATCGAGCTGAATTTATAATGGAATCTAAAGTCTGAAAGCTAGGGATATATGTACATAATATATTATAATTCTTGGGTGGCTGTTCTTGAATAATAAATAAAGTCTTCTAGTGCTAACTTATTTCCTTCGACGAATCTCATACTACAGTTGTTTTAAAACTATAAATATATATTTACTCTAATGTACATTGGCTGCTAGTTTCAGACATAAGTACATAGATTTCAAGGAAATTGTAAGAAATCAGAATATCTCTAATTAAAATTGCCGAATCTTTTCAGTGACAAACTACACTTAAATCATTGGAAAGATATGGGGTCATTTACACCAAAGTATAATAAGTTGAACGTAAATTCATGCTTCCCTAAACAAAACCCCTTGTTCAATTAAATACCTACAATATATGTATAGGTATATAAGCTGTATACGATCATAGTTTTACGATCGATACATTGATCAAATTTTAACTGCAGAGTTTGAGAGTAGTTGTCTCAAATTAATTCGAAACTACTGACTCACCCTAACTTCTTTCATTTAAAAATATGTTTTCCGATATTCATAGTATAAAATATATAAGTACATCAGTGCATTATTTTCGGAAAAACGTTCATATATTATAAGCTATAGACTTCCTAGATAACCCCTCTTTCTAATAGTGAAAACCGTATAAAAATCCATACAGTATTTTCTGAGACTAGCGACTCACCCTTGCTTTGCTTGGCTTGAGTTCGACCCTATATACGTTTTAACGGTTTGTATGGAATAGACAGTATGTATATTATATAATATATAGCCTATAGCTTTACTCAATAAACGGGTTATCTAATGAGAAAAGAATTTTACAAATCGGATAAGTACTTTTTGAAATTAACGCGTTCAAAGAAACATACAAACAAACTCTGCCTCTTTATAATTTTAGTATAGATTATCCCGAAAATACAAAAAAAAATACAAACTTAACGCGGCGGGGACCATTAATTTACAATTATGATTGATAACGAAATATACCAATCATTAGGCGTACCGGGCTCAACATCTTGGCACTCCTAGGTCACTCCCGGAAATTTTCCATGCCATACCAATCATTACTCATAACCTTTTCCTTTTTTTTCGATGGGAAATTTGACATTTACGCACGAGGTGTGGGACTCACCGGCAAAGCCAGTACTACCCACTAAAACCCAACAAAGCCTTCCCCCGTCTTAATGGGGTGTCGCGGGATCGCTTACGCATTCAACTACGACGCCCCGACGGCAGGTCTGCCGAAGCAGATCACAACAACCATGGGGTTGCTCCAAGGTCCACTCTGGTATCCGAGAAGTACCAGGAGCAACCCGTATGGAGCACCGCCCATCGAAGTGAGCCACCTCCCTGTGCGTTTCTTGGCTTCGCGCCCGGCCGGATTGCCGGGCAACACTAAGCCCCCCACCACGACAAGGTGAACGTACGTTGGAAGGGACTCATAACCTTTTCCTGACACAACACAAACTAATGCATAAATTACTATAAAACCAAACAAGCTTTCTAAATAACGTGCAAGTTTACACAAAAAAGCTTATAAGTTTCTACTGACGGACTTATAAATTCGCAAATAAGCAAAACTCGGAGTTAAACGCCGCGAATATGAAGACAACTTCCGGCGGCGCCTTTCACTTCCTCTCCCATCTCGAATATTTTGTTCGAATTTGATTTATTTACTTTCACATTTCGCTTCGGAAATAAAAACTTTACGGTTCAACTCTTGGATGTTAAGGTTTAGGAAGACTTTAGTGTTATTTAAGAACTATTTTATGGGATTTACTTTGTATTGTAATTTTATAGTACGTTGAGGAGATGAAGAAATAAATGTTTGATGGTTCGGTTTGGTTTTTTTATTTTACTTTAAATCATAGAACCATTCAAAAATATTTATTCTTTTATTTCGTAATAGTAAATACAATCAAATATTTTTAGCTTTTAAAATAATATTAATTAAATATGTTGCGACATTAACACACAGCACCATCTAGTTCCCCCCCAACGTGCGTTCACCTTGTCGTGGTGGGGGGCTCAGTAGTAGTAGCGAAGCTAAGAAACGCACAGGGAGGTGGCCCACTTCGGTGGGCGGTGGGAGGTGGCCCTCTTCGGGGGGCGGTGTACCTTGCGAGTTGTTCCTGGTACTTCTCTGATAGCAGAGTGGACCTTGGAGCAACCCCATGGTTGTGGTGGTCTGCTTTGGCAGACCTGCCGTCGGGGCGTCGTAGTTGAATGCGTAAGCGATCCTGCGACGGCCCATTAAGACGGGGGAAGGTTTTGTTGGGTTTTAGTGGGTAGTACTGGCTGTATTACGCCGGTGAGTCCCACACGTCGTGCGAAAATGCATTTCCCAACGTTAAAAAAAAAAAAGCACCATCTAGTTCCATGGTAAACGAGGCTTGTGTTATGGACACCAGATAGTTGATACACTGCACATATATAATTCTGAATACATAAATAGGTATTATAAATATAAACACCCAAGACTGGAGTACAAACTTTCGTGCTCATCACACAAATGAATGCCCCCAGCGGGACTCGAACCCGCGACCGCTGGCACAGCAAGTAGGGTCACTACAAACTAAGCCAATCATGTTATCAAAATAGTCGCTTGTAAGTTTTACGAGGGATCTCTAATTAAATGGGATAAAATATATATATGAACAAGCATTTGGCCTTAAAACATTGAAAATGATACACGAATTGTGGTTAAACAAAATTCAATAGCATCTAACGTTTGTTCAGTTCATGTTTTGTATGGAAAATGAAATGAAATTAATAAACATAATAGTATAAAAATGTTGACCATTTGTATCTGCATTGCAGATCGCCTCAAAACTTACAAGTGAGAAAACGTATAAAACTTTAGGGAGTATTATTTTATTTATTTAAGGTTTTTACTATTAGAGAGAGTAATAATTTTCTTTCGACGAATTGTATTAATTTATAATACTTTAACTATTTAAATTAAAAAAAAAGAAATTAAAAAAAAGAAATTTCTGATAACCTACGCAAATATACTACAAAATAAGGATTTACCTAAAATTAAATGATTCCGAAAGAAATACACAATAAAATCTGCAATAGACATATCAAAAATCAAACAAAAAAAATATAAAATTTACAACGTCTAGTCGAGTTGACAAAGTTAAGGAGTAATAAGCGTGGTCTCAAATAGAACAATAAGCTTATCCGTGTGAAACGAAGCGTCCGTACGATACAATCCTTACTTATAATATTCTTTCAAATTCAAACTTTATTGGCTATGTAATATGAGCTAAATAGCTTTAAAACTTTGATCGAATAGGTTTTGAGCAAATATTTAAAGAATAAGTTGAAATAGTGTTTATAGATTTAGGGCTAGAGTCGAATTTTGTTTGTGTTTTGTGTTGGCGTAAAGCCAGAGTCGAGGCGAGCCAAAACGGTGACAGTATAGGTTTCAGATTGCTCTTAATATCGCACATATACTGGTTGTGACACTTTTACCAAATCATTCGTTTACTAAACAAAGGAATGTTATTTACAAAAAAAAACCGGGCAAGTGCGCGTCTGACTCAGACAACAAGGGTTCCGTAGCAATAAATTCATAGTTTTTTTTAAATACGTAATTTGTTTTGTTTAAAGTGCTCATCGAGTCCAAGGGGTAATTCCGGGCTGTTACTGTAGAATTCTTTAGAGAAAGCCCAATAAATACAGTTTGTCTTGTCAGGGATTCGAACCCACAACCTCGGATTTTTATCACTGAGAGGTAGTCATAAAATAAATATTTCCTTAACGTCTTAAATAAAACTAACGAATCTTAAATATATATATTAAATAGTTGGACTCGAACCCGCGACCGCCGGCACAGCGCGTAGGGTCACTGCAAACGTGTCGTCAAACATAGTACCTGGGCCACCGAGCTTCGTTCGGAGTTTTTGGTTAAAAAGTACAATTTTCTTTAAAAAAAAACTAAAAACTTGCATAAATACAAAAAAAAAACTAAAATATATTATACCTTTGTATCCGACCGGGATTCGAACCCGGACACCTATGATTGTCAATCTTGCGTCTTATTTTTAATAAAAAAAAAAAACAAAAAACTTGAATAAATATTAAAAAATAAATAAAAGTAAAAACTATGTATGCATCTTGGCCGCTTTAACACGATGCTTATTCCCGAGCGTGCAAATTACCGACCATATGCGTGGAATAATGCAAAAGAAAACTGCATGAAAACTCGAAAACACGCGTTTTCTCAGACATAAGACTAATCTAGATCGATTTATCGCTCTATATATATATATATATATATATATATATATATATATATATATATACACACAAGGATTGCTCGTTAAATATTATATTAGATATTACCTTAACAAGGCTAAGACGTATGGCAAGACTGGTGTGGTCCGAGGGGTTGGCGCTGGTGGTGAGCAGCAGCTCGCGCACGCCGCGCAGCGCCGCCTCCGCCGGGGCCGCGCCGGGCGGCATGGGGCTTGGTTTTTCTGATTCCGGTCTGGTTTATAATATGCTTTGTTTATTTTATTATCTATACACATAAATAAAATTCATGTGTCTGTTTGTCTTGTCAAAATAATTGCGTTTTACTAAATGTATATGAAATGTATATAATTTCATACTATACTTACAATGGTACTTATAAGATAGAACACAATTTTTAATTTTTGTCTGTCTGTCTGTTTGTTTCGGAAAATTTCTGAAACTGTTGGACTGATTTTGACGGGACTTTCACTGGAAGATAGCTGATGTTATAGGGAGTAACAGAGGCTAATTTTATTATAGAGAAAGAATTAGTAGTTCGCGCAAAAAAGTAAAACGTACTCGCTAGTGTATTAACTACAATGGGTTATGACGTTTTTAATTAAAAATCACTTCGGTCACAAAAGTACTAGATACATAATCAGCGATAAAAAATGTCAATTCTAGCGACACATACTCGCTTCGCTCGGGTTCGTCCCCAGCTTGCTTCCCAATACAAACTTCCATCCCCGTTTTCACCCCCTCAAGAAATGATTTCCGGGATAAGAAGTATCCCACGTCCTCCCCAGGGTCTCAAACTATCTTCTCTTACCAAATATCTAAATCAGTCCAGCAGATCCAGAGATCGTTTATAATATAAGTACAGAAAAGAAAGACACAGTACAGTGAGAGCAGGCGCCGCTGCCGCAGCTGCAGGCGGCGCAGGCGCAGCGCGTGCGCGTCGAGCTGCGCGCGCACCGCCCGCGCCAGGGCGCCGCCGCACGCGCGCAGCACGCCGCGCCCCGCCGCGCACAACTCGTTGGCCTCGCGCTGGCGCGCACGCATCTGCCGGGTAACGGGACGATTTAAATGTTATACTTTCTTACATTTACGTGAATATTTGACTTTTTAAATAAATCAATATTTTTCATTCGTAAATGTATTATGTAGTGATAGTGTCGCTAATAATCTATTTTTAAATAGTAGCAAAGTAAATTAAAATTATTATTCCTAATTAATTTTAACTTTTTAAATTACACGTAGAACGATAATGTGGCTTGAATAATTAATATTTTATATTTCTTTATATTTATAAATATAATAATGGCAACACGAAATATACATTACTGATTAATAAAGTTTTTAAAAAATTGTAATAATTATAACAATAACAGCTTAAATAAATAAATAATATTCCATATTCAATTATAACTATAAAAATATTTTAAAACTAAATTAACAAATATTGTAAGGTACTTTGATACCATTTTTCTATTTTTTAAGTCATTTTGTTATTTGTGGGTACGCTGCCTGTAATTCTATATAATGCCTTTGAGACATCTAACACCTTAGTCTCTCCCATGACCATGATTGCTGTAAAGCATTCGAAAATAGGGAAACGGGAACCAAAAATCAAAATAAATACGCGAAAAACCCCGAAAAGATAGTTTTACTTAAAATTTAAATTTAATTTTATATGTTTATGTGTATATATATGTACGTAAATATGTATGTATATATTTCTTTGTCTATATATGTATTCATTTGTTCTCTCTACCCAAAGGTTGCCTAGAATATATCGCTCTCCAGCGATAAGGCCGCCTATTGTAATATTTCTCTTTAATCTGTTTTCAACTATGTAATGTAAAATAATGATGTGCAATAAAGAATATTTGATTTGATTTAACAAATGGAGTGTATATTAATCTATGTTGTCATTTATGTGGTTTACATTTGTTACTAATAGATGAAGTTATGTCATCAGTTGAATCACGCTATTGTTAGGTTGTTTCCGATTACTGTAGCTAAGTTTAAAATGTAGCATAAATATTTTTGGGTACTTTTAAGAAATATATACAGTATTACGGTCCAGAAGCTAGAAGTGGATCGTACATAGGACATTAAATTTCACTCAAAGGAAACATTATTTTATTTTTCAAAAACGTTATTCCTAAACTGCATTTATTTATTACTATTTTTTTCATCAAACTTTAAACAACAATGTTACTGTTTCATTAAACCAATCGATATTGTTGAATCTATACATAAAATAAAATTCTAACCGAGTTGAATAGGTACATTAAATATTTTTTGGAAAATCTTATTGAAATAGTCATTATCATAACAAATTCGAAATGTCAAATGTTAACTATTCTCGTAGATCTAAGAAATATTTTTTATTGCCACAGCTAATATTAGATATTAATTTTTATATCAGTACAACATTCAATACTAACCATGTTCTCTAATTCATCCAACTGCTGTGTAGTGACCTTCTCATTTTCCATACTTTCTATTAATTTTTCGAGATGATCTAGAGCTTCGCCGCCATTCTCCAACGACGCATACAGCGCAGTCCATGACGCCTGGCAGCGGGACCATCTGAATGAAATTATAATTTAATTACAATTAAGAATCTAATGTCATGAAAAAAAATCGAATAAATGAGAGTCCGGCTCGTACACCGAGGGTTTGGTAGCATGGAACGTGAAAATAAGTATATAATCGCACTTTTTATGATGTAAGAGGCGATTTATTAATTACGTAACAACAATTTTGGCAATATTTTTATTTTTTTTAAAGATAATTTAGATTCTAAGATCGGTATCTATGTGGTAGACCCCTCACTCTCTTTCCAGACGAAATATGTGTTAAACCGTAAAACATATTGACAAACACGGCACAGGGGGATTGTCACCAAAAATTTGGCTCCAGGCTATTTATAATAATAATAAAAAAATAGTTTTTTTTTTGAAATGGTATAAAAAACATACTTTTGACTAAGGGAGGCGTATTTACGTAACTTGAATAATTCAGCCATTTTGTAACTAACTTATTTAAGTTAATCTCACCTTTGATGTCTTTCTTTATATGAATCCAGAAGGGCTGTCCATTCTGTCCGTAGTTTATCTCTCACGCGCTTCACTTGCTCACTAGAAGTCTTGCGAGACGCCCAGGTGTATGAGTTTTCTATTTCCTCCACTGTTGATTGTACTTCGTCCATTGACGATTTTATTTTCTGATATAGAAAGATTAATTATTAATACTAATAATCGGTAAGGAAGACATTAAATTTTCTCCTCCATTCTACGTGACATTGGCGAAGTAATCTGTGTTAAATATGACTAGCGGCTCACCCTTGCTTTGCTCGGGTTCGCCTCTAGGAAAGCCCCCATGGGAACCGTTCATTTTTCCGGGATAAAAAGTACCTAAAATGTTGACCGGGAATATAAGGTACCACCATGTAAAATTTTATTTAAATCGGTCCAACTATTTCGGAGATTAGCCCGTACAAACAGCCATACAGACAAACAGAGAGACAAAAGAATTCAAATAATATCTGGATTTGTTCTATTTCTCTTCTTACACCCCCCTGACTTGGTTTTTAGCATTTTTTTCTATGTACAGATATTAAACCTGTACAGTTTTATTATATGTATGTGTAGATTATTAGATTCAATCGAAACTAACCGCCAGCGCATCTTCCTGCATAGGAAACTCGTCGTAGTCGCGCGCGTTAAGCGGCGGCGACCGCAGCAACGAGTGGATGGTGGCCACGGCCTCGCGCGCTCTGTTCGCTCGCGTGACGAACTCGTTGCGGGCCTCCGTGCTCTCTTGCTGTTTGGTGGATAATGTGTATTTTTTATATCAGGATTTAAAGTCTTTAAGAAATAAATAGTAACTGAAGAATGCTCTGATAGAGTACTAATTACCCATTTATAATAAGTAATAGCGAGTTTTGGAGTTCATAGGAAACATACATACACACATTGATTTTTATTTACGAGTATCTGTACAAATCAATCTATTTGTAATTTGTTTATACGCTCGGTGTAAAACATGGTTTATACTTTAAATGAATTTCCAAATTCTGATAGTTAATAATATAATATAAAAACTACTTTTATCACGCGGAGCCGCAAACAAAGTTAGCAGTCCCTATATGATACAATTCATTATATGTATTCAGCCCTTCTTAACGTCCCACTGCTGGGCACGGGCCTCCCTTCAGTGCGAGGGGGATCAGGCCATAGTCCACCACGCTGGCCAAGTGCGGGTTGGCAGACTTCACATGTCTTTCGAAAACTTGCCACGTTCTCTCAGACATGCAGGTTTTCTCACGATGTTTTTCCTTCACCGTAAGGCAAGTGGTAATCATGTTGAAAATGATTCGCACATGAAAATATCAGAGGTGCGAGACCCGGGATTTGAACCCGCTTCACTCGGTTACCCATGCGAGCGCGTCACCACTGGGCTACCACTGCCTTTTTTTTTCATTATAACTACATTTTAATCAGAAAAGACTAACCAAAATTTAAATTAGAAATAATAATTAAAACTCACCATCTTCTTCCTATCCTTCTTAGGTATGCTAGCTTCATACGCATCACGAATCCTATTAAACATGGCTGCGACATCATTTGCTGTTTTTTCTGGGAACGCGACCCTTTGAACTCTCAATTCTCTACACAAATCTTGAATCCTCTCCACATCGTTCTCTCTATCAATTAACTCTTCTTTCATTTTATCTCCACCATTTTTGATCTTCGCTTCGATATCCATACTCCACTTCTGCATACTATCGATTAATGTGTTCAATTCTTTTATATCGTCTTCGGCTTTTAATGCCGCGTTTCGTTTCGTTTCGATTTCAGACATAACTATGGACCATTTTGTGCGTAGTTTGTCTTGGAAATGAGTTTGTAAATAGTCTGCTAATTGGGGATTGTCTTTGTGTTTGGCATAAACTAAGCTGTCGCCTCTAGATATGAGCGCGGCTGCGTCTGGCGCGACGGCGCCTAATTGGTTTTTGAGTATCTGGAAGAATTTTTTTATGAAATATATTTTTTACCTTTTTCATATTTTTTGTATTTTTTAAAATTACTTTGGAATTTTGTAGGTAAGCACTGTCTGCAACAAATTTATATGAACTTTGAGACGTCTAAAACCTTAGTTTCTATCGTGACCATAACTGCTGTAAAGCATTCAAAACGTTGCGAACCAAAAATCAAACTAAATCGCAAAATAACCCGAAAAGATGATTTTATTTAAAATGTCAAATATTCGCGTAAATCTAAGAAAGCATTATATGAAATATACTTTAAAGTTTATATGCAAAATAATCGTTAATTATATGGATTACTGAAAGATAGGAAAATAATACAGAGTATATTAACAATTTGCATTTTTTGAGTGAATTTTCATTTAATGTTTAGCCTATATATATATATATATATATATATATATATATATATATATATATATATATACATATATATATACATATATATATACATATATATATATATATATATATATATATCTAGCATTTTTTTTGAAAGTAACGAAAACAATTTAATTAACAGAAAGAAACTGTACTCAGTATTGTCATCTATATAAGTGTACTCCAAAGTTTACTTCCATGAACAATATACACAAGATTAAATAGGGACTATCGGTCGACTACTTTTTGTTTGGAAGGAATCGTTTTAGCTATAAGGCCGCCTCTTTTTCTCCACATTGTCGTAACTTTTCTGTATCTATTTCTATTTTTGGGCGTACTATAAAAGTTTATTATTATAATTATTACCTTAAACCATAGCTTATCTAAACCAAAAACCTCACCTCCAATCGCTTAGCCGGGTCCCTCTCACTAGCAACCCCACCAACAGTCAACAGCATCACATGCATCCTCCTCGCCATACGCTCTGCTTCCATTTCAAACTGTTCCAACTCTTTATCACATGCCTTGGGGAATCTACTTTTGAGTTCAGATTGTATGGTCGATTCGATTGATTCGTTCGTTTCTTCGAGTTCGGGAGAACTTTCCGTTATTTCTGATACCTTTTGGAATTGGTATAACAGTTAATAATTATATATGGTACCACTTTAAAAAAGAAACGTGCTTAATTCGGGTATATGATACTACGCCAATTCTGGACCGATTTTAATAAATATTTCTTTTTAATCGAAAGAGAGTGAAATAATTACTTATTAAAGAATTTTCAAAATTGATGTAGCTTTTTAGTTCAAAATTACTAAATTTTGTGATGAAATAAATAGATGAAATTAGTTAACATTGTAATTCAATCTCACATTCCACACATAATTTAACCGTTACGATTTTACTGTAAGCAATAATATATTATACTATTTAATAAAAATGAGTTTTGGCAACAAAAGCACTACATTCTAATATAACAGAGAAGGTTTCAGATTTAATACTCACTTGAGCATAATCATCAGTGCGTTGATACTTTTCATTCAACGTTTTCGTTTCTTTGAAGTTTTGCAATTTAAAACTGAATAATGGACTAGATAAAGTCTTTGGCTTCGGAGACGGAGTCTCGTGTTCTTCATCTTGCGATTTGGGCGACATCGCGACTACCTGGACTTGTTTTTTATTCTTATCTTCCTTTATTGGTGTTGATGTCGACAGTGGTTCTTTTACATCAAATTCTGATGAAGAGAGACGTACCTAGAGGGTATAGTTTTAATTAATACTTTCTCATATTTATGCGAATATTTGATATTTTAAATAAAATTATCTTTTCGGATTTTTTCGCGGATTTATTTTATTTTTGGTTCCCAACGTTTCGAATGCTTTACAGAAATCATGGTGAACGTGATTGCTGTAAAGTATTCGAAACGTCAGGAACCAAAAATCAAAATAAACCCGAGTTGTTTAAATACTATTTTGTTTTAATTAATTAAATTATTTAGAAATAGATACTTAATACTTATAATTTATGTGTCAAGTTTTAGATTTATTTTAGACATACGTATTATAGAACTATATCTATTTCATGTATACTTAGAAACGAACTACTATAAGTTAATATTTTAAAATAATGACTTGTATACCATAGACGAGTTATGGCTTAACATTAACTGTCAAAATTTTATAATCTGTAAACTAGTTTTTAATATTTTAATATTAATACCTGTGGCATTTCTTCAACTTCAGAATATATAGCTTCGTCCACATCACTTGTCGGAGATTTACTTTGCAATGTTTCTGTCGATGGCTCCTTTATTTCTTCTTTGATTGTATCTAGCACCTTGTCTTCTTTCAATTCTACGGGATTATCAGTAGCCAGAGATTCTGTTGCAGACGCTTCCGGCAACGCAGCTTGTTCTTTTGGCACATCGTCTAAGATCAAGTATTCGTTTAGTTCATCAGTCATCAAATTCTGAGTGACCTTTTGTCGTACTGCTAAGTCATATAACAAAGGACACTCCATCCCTTTTGCCCCATCTAAAGGTGTAGGTGGCGGTGTACTCATTGAAACATCTTGATCTTTTTCTGGTATCAGATCTGGTACATCCATAGTGACTTTCATTACTTTAGGTCTGTCTTCCTCCGAACCATGTCTTCGTTTCAATATCCCTAGTGTTGGTTTCATTCTTTGTTCAAACGTTTTTACTTCTATGACAAATGTTTTTGGTTCTGAACCTAAATCAACTGATTGTCGTCTCGAATCTTGCTTTTCTTCGTCAGACTCTCCTATAGATTCGCCTTCTGTATCGTATATAATTTCAACAGTTTCAACAGTCTGAGGAATGAATTCTACAACAGTTTCTACTGTATCTGATGGATATATTTCCATTGGTTCTACGGGACTGACAGTTGACTTGACAATTTCATGTTCCTTAACTGCCACTACGTGACAAGGATCAGACTTTGGTGTCTTAGCTTGAGGAACAGGTGATTTAGGTTCGATTTTGTTTTTAGATATTTGAGTAAATAGGTCACTGTCTTGTAAAAGATTGAAGGTGCTACTATCCTTGCGAGGAGTTTCAGGCGTTGAAGGTAAAGATCCCATGATAGAAATAGAACCTTCGATAGAATCAGTTGACATTGTACTCGAAATACTATCAGTCATCGGACTGTCAGCTTTCTTTTTTCGTCTCTCTAACGAAGATCCCCTGCTTCTATTACCACTTTCTTTAATCTCTTTCTTTAACGGTGCAGGGCTTTTTAATGCCAGGGGTATTTTAGACTTTTTGAATTCAGGCTTTTCAGTATCGGGTGAATTAACTGGACTTTCTAATCGTCGTTTGATAGTGTCGGTTACATTTTCGTATTCGACTACAATGTTGTCTTTGTCATCTGTATTGGTAGCGGCCTGCAAACAGAATCCGTCATAGGCTTACTCTTGTGTGTTACGATAATTTGTTAAGGCACACGTTTGTTACTTATATTAGTCATGTTTAGTTTGTCCAGTTCAGTATGAATTATGATCGTATGCATGAATCCCAAAGCATCGTATGATGAAAGCATGACCCCAGTGAATCCTTAAGCTTTACGTAGTGATGTACACTTGATATTGTGATTAAAGCATTTTTACACCGCACAGTACGCACCAGCACCATTTCACTTATTTACACGTGTATTTTAATTACAGATGATATAATTAATAAAAACTCACGTATTGTGTTTTATATTTATATTATTAAGAAAGAAAAGCACACAACATCTTCGTAAGTACGTTTAGTTATTTATTAAATATTTTACACACACTCAGTTTGAAAATATCGTGATGCACACCAATAACGCGGTCGAAAGAAGCGGCTACGTGCTCCCGTGTATAAACAGTGATCAAAACAAAGCAAAATATGAAATAAGTTTTTACAAAAACCAACGATAAGAAAAGTGGAAACACCAAACAAAAAAAATGAGTTCACCAATGATTTTCTGAGTTTGTAGCACTCATGAAATTATATTCATAGGAACGTACCGACTATTTATTAATAATCATTTTAGATAAATCACATTAATTGTTATAAAAGTTAAATAATTAATCGGTACATCTCTAATTATATACAACCACGAATTCTGTACATTATTTCAAAATAAAAAAAATGAAATCGCTCGATAGCAAAAAAAAACATAGTTATGAAAAAAATGAATACTCACGGTTATTTTCTCCAAAATCCTCTCCCACTGTTTTAACAAGGCTTTATTATCCATCGCTTCCACTTCACTAGCTTTAGCGCGAATTTCAGTTTTCAACAGCCTAAGTTTGGCGTGCGACATTGTTTCAGGACTTTCCATTTCTTGATCGATATCGTTCAAATATCTTTGTAGAGTTTCCACCTCCGTTTCCTTCTTTTCTAGTCCGTGCCGTTTAAGATTGTCCCAACGAGAGTTGATATCATTGATTTGCTCCCGAAGATTTTCTAAATACACGGGATCGCAGTTTTTAGCGAACTCCATGTAATTTGCGTTCAGTTTGTCTTTAATCGCTTCCATTCGAGACATTTCTAACTCTAACGACTGTTTTCCGACATTTCCTAACCCTTGAAGCCAAGATGTTAGCGACTGTAAGTCATTTTGTATTTCGCGAGCTGTTAACAACGCAGTCTCTAACTTGGTCTTGGATTCGGTTACGTGAGCACCAAGCTTGTTATAAAGCTCTTTGAGCATATCAATTTTCTTGGAGAACTCTTGTGGTTCCGGCACAGACTTTTCTTCTACCATCTTCCGTCCAGTTTTTATTATCGACTCTACTTCGGATTTAATCTCGCTAAGCGTGCGATAGAACCTCTGCAAACAAAACGCCATTTGTTTATTTGTTTCTTGTTAGAAACAGTTACTTTAGTTTAAGGCTTTAAAAAGACTAAGAACTGAATGCTTTATTTTCTTACAAGCCACTTGTACAAGGTGACGCTTATTACTAGTAGTAAATAGAAAGAATCCAAACTCATCTCTGCTTAAATGTTACTACCGCGGTATGCAAGGCGGGTCGGTAGGAAGTGAATCAATCGTAACTCTATTGTGCCGCACCACTGATTACAACATAGATGCACGAAACCATTGAAAAATGTAAACTTTTGGATGTGACAAGTATGTAATCAATTAAAAAGTAAAGGTATTATGTTAAGGCAATATTTTAAATAAAAAATTAAACTATTTCTGATTACATATAAACAAAATTGTTATTATCTTTAAATAAATAAATTACGAATCATGTACAGCCAGACTACCGTTATAAATGCGTAGGTTTGTATGTATGTATTTGTGGGTATTTTGTGAGTCCTTCACAATGAAACGGCTAGACGGACAGATTTAGATATAATTAGTATATAGACATACAATGAACTGGACTAACGCATAGGTCATGTCAAGCACTTAGGGACGTAAATCGCTAGTTTTCTCATACTATTGATGGCTCCTAATGATGCCCACTCCAAACAATTTAACTCGTATATCACAGTATCGTAGTACAGAATCCTTCCAACGTCCGCGCCGACAGCCGCACGCGACGCCGCGACAAAGCACACTACACAATAGTTTATTGAACTGTTTATCGCATTCCTATTTGGATTAAATTAATTGGGATTCTCTACAGAGTTTGATAGAGAACAATGTTTGATATATTAAATATTGAACGAATATTACATTTACTTTGCTAGCACACATAAAATCTTATATTAAATGAGCAATTCTTGTATATATGTACATATTCACATGTATACATATTTCGTGTATCTCGGAGACGCCTCTAACAATTTGGATCAAATTTTCAAACTTTGTATTTAGATAAGATTTTACTTCTTCTAAAAAACGCAATTTTTATATCCTTTTCGAAAAACGCCGAGCAAAGCTGGATCGCTCAGGTACACAAATTAAAAGTAAATAAACGCATATGTACATACATCTTTATCTTTTTATTTTTCTTTTATTTAAATTCAAATGTTGATTAACCCAGAGCATAGCCAGCCTATAATTACAATAAAATATGAAATAATAAAATCCGTCATAAATCAGCGTAATAATAAACCATTTAATAAAATACAAAATCATACAGCCAAATTGAGAGATCTTTTAATACAACATATTATATGTATATTGTATACATAATAATATATTCTAAGCCTATTTCCTGTTGTTTGCTCTTGTAATATATGGCAAGGTGAATGAATCCCTTCAAAGACTACGTCAACAACCGCTGGCATGCACCGTGTAGGTTACTGAACTTCATTAATTCAAACATTATTAGATTAACCATACAATGTACATAATATATGTATACATATATTAAATTGTAGCATTGAGTAGGGCCTATATTTATATTATATTTATGATAAATGTTCAGACTAAAGAAATATATAGACGGAGTCCGCCAAAATAAATGTCAAAGTCAAAAATAATAGCGTGATTTTGCTTTTTACGTCACTGTTCTCGTTTTTGCCACGCAGATTGATTACTTTCATTAAAGTAAATGGGTTTATATATTATATGCCTATGTATTAGTTAAATTAGTATAAAATGAAATATTTTAGTTAGAATCGTTAGATTTTTAGAAATTTAACACAATTAGTTCTGAGATTTGTTCCGAGATAAACCTTTTATTGTTAATAAATAGTTTCTAACTAAAAAACTAAATTTTATTCGATATAGAAAGCACTGACCTTTTTTAAAATATTTTATTAGAGATATCAGAATGTTATATGTTATATTTTAAGAAACTAAAAAATACGCTTTAATGATGAACCGAACTAAAGAGAAAAAAATAATTTTAAGTGTAAGAATAAAGTTATTAACGAGAAAATTAATGTAATTATGAAAAAAAACGTGGGGTGCTACAATATTTTTATACTAACTCTACTTTTAGAAATCATATTAATAGAATATTTTGAACACGTTTTTTTGTATGTTAAACGTAGAAACGTCATCTTAGTAATCTTACTTCTTACTAATATTATAATAGTGAAAGTTCAGATGTTTGTATGGATTTTTGTTACACAATCATGCCAGAACGGCTGAACGGATCTGGATGAAATTTGGCACAGAGATAGATAATAGTCTGGAATAACACGTAGGTTACTTTTTATCCAGGAAAAACATACGGTTCCCGTGGGTTTTCTTTTGTTTTTCTAGAGGCGAAACTGAGCGAAGCGAGGGTGAGCCGCTAGTAGTACATACGATACCCGTCTTTCCCGAACTATATTTCATTAGTTCCTTTCGCACTAACCGCAACACTAAATACGAACTAACCACATCCAATAAACCGTATTATATTATTTTGTGGTTAAAATTTATATGTTTGATCAATATATTGGGACCACTATAACATGAACACCTTGACTCACGTACCACTTGTTTAGATTGAATTGACACGTAATGACAGGTGATATGAGAAAATTGTAAGAAATTGATATGTTTCGAACTAATTCTTAGGTATACTAGCATTCTTGTGCGGCTTTTCTCGCATGATTTCATAATAATAAAGATAACAAAGGTTTTCAGTTTTCTCGCCTAAAGCATTATCTACCGATGAAAGTCTCATTAAAATTACTTCAATTCTTTCTGAAATTAGGGACAATGAAAGAAGGTAATTAGCGTTTTGTTAACACTTATCGTGAAACTTAACTTAATTAAGTTTACATAGAGAATAACATAGGCCTTCTCTACCATGTTTCACTGTGTCCATAAAATGAAGATCCTACTTTTTTTTAATTAACGAAATTTGAAATAGAGACAGCTTATAGGTATGCTGGATGAACTCGCAGGCCTTTTTATCGAAGTTCCTATTACATTAGTACATACAAAAACTAGCCTGCGCACGCTCTACATCTGTGCTAAGACTCATGTATTCCTGTGCTAATCTTATATGTTCGAGTAGCCCTTACGAATTCACGTGGTAGCCGTATACATTTGTGTGGAAACCTTATATACTCGCACGGTAACCCTATACATTCGTATGGTCAACCTATACATCCGTATGACAGCCGGTATTCATGTGGTAATCCTATATATTCATACAAATCGAAACCAGCTAACTCATCAAGCGCGCCCGTAAACGCCCGCGCACCGCATAAGGATTAAGACACATTTAATCGTTCGGTAGCCCTCCCTACACATTAATGTGACAACCCTACACATCCGTACAGCAACCCTACACACTCATACAAGGCGAGCCCCGCGCACTCACCAGGCACGCCCGCAGCTGCGCGCGCACGGCGTCCGGCTCCACCTCGCGCAGGCGCAGCGCGCGCGCCGCCGCCTGCACCTCCCGCAGCGCCGCGCTCGCGCGCTCTAGCCGGGACGCTATCTTACATCCGTCCGTTTCCTCTTCTTCCGTCTCTTTCTGCTCTTCTTGTGTCTCCGTTTGGTGCTCTAGATATTGCTCCTCCGCTTTGTTTAGGTTGTGCTGTGAAATTAAATTATGTTGGTATGCGCGTCTCGCAGTGTTGCGACGTAAGTTACGTTTTTAATTAGATAGTATGAATATTTTGCGGTTTTAACTTTACCTTCTTTTAATGGATACGCGAAATGAACGTACATAAACTCACTTCACACCCCATTACTTCACACATTGCCTCTGACGGAGACAGAATGAGCAGAGTATCGAGCGCTACGATCTCTACATACCTCTTTCGCTTTTCTATTATTATATAGACTCTTTAAAAGTCCTCCAGAATAGCCCTACACCTTCCACTCACTCTTTCACAACATCCACAACATTCTTTCCTCACCCATCATTCATTCCCAAAACATTCAAACACTTACCCCAGAACTATCTCCTATTTTATATCAGTCAATACTACCTATTTTAAAATGACATCTATAATCAGCGACTATAATGAAATATCTTATAGCAAAGCACAGATAAAAAACTCACTTCAGCCAGCTGCAACTGATCCCGCAAGCGGTCCGCGGCCTCCACCTTGCCGGCTTCGCGGTACGCTTGGACCTGTTCCTCCACCTCCTTCAGTACGCCACGTTGAGCTACGAACTCTGCTGCCAACTAGTTTGATAAACAAGATATTTTGTTATACATATATATACTAAAGGCATGGTTCAATACCGAGTCCCGCACCTCTGATATTTTCATGTGCAAATTATTTCCAACATGATTACCACTTGACTTACGCTGAAGGAAAATAAAGAAAGGTACTAATATGAGTGGTCACTCATTTAGGGGTATTTGCCTTAATCAACACGCTTGGCAGACAGTTTGGTGACCCTAGTAGCTGGAAATCTTTCGCCAACACTACTGCCCTCCATTAGGATTTGCATAAGATAGTATACTGCGAGCTAGTATAACAAACGAGATAACGTTTTGTTGAAAAATTATAAAACACCGTATCTCGACACCCACCGACCAGATGAAACCATCCAGATAACCCCATAACACAAAAACATCATCAAAATCGCTCAAGCCATTTTTTCCAATATTTTTCTCCTAAACACCAGATTGTTTATAAACATTTATACATATAAACATATAATTAAATCATGTAAAGATGTTTTTACCTGTGTCTTATCAATGGTCTCGGCCAGCAGAGTGCGCTGGCGCAGGTTGAGCAGCCACTGCTGCAGGTTGTCCAGAGACACCTCGCAGCGCGCGGCCTCGCGCGCCGCCGCCTCCAGCTCTCGCGTGCGCGCCGCCGCCTGCACAGTTTGCTAGGCTTAGAATGCTACTAGTGACTCACTTCGTCCTTGAGTACATTTTAATTTCGTTGAGCGGAACAAAAATTCTTTTATTAAAATAAAAGTTGCCTAAGTTACTCCTTATAACATCGACTACCTGCCAGTGAAAGTCCCAGGCCCAGTAGTTTCGGAGATTAACCAGAGAGACAGACAAAAAAATTAAAAATTGTGTTTTTCTTATAAATACCATATGCATTTAGTAAAAACCTGTTATTTTGATATTACAAACAGACACTTCAATTTTATTTATTTGCATAGATGAGCTTTTATTTACAAAAAAAAGGATGTACAGTATAAATTCTCTGTTTTTAAATTAATGCAGTTAAGTTAATTCCCCGTACAAACTTTTACATCCATTTTACTTAAAAGATGGTTTTCGGGATTAAAACTATCTTATATTCTTCGCAGGGTCTCAAACTGGGTCCAGTAGTTTCGGAGCTTATTCGGTATAAATAAACAAAATATCTTTCCTCTTTATAATATTAGTAGAGACTATCGATTTACCTTCGTTTTGCTTTGGTTCAGTTTGGCGTGTCTAGGTACGCGGAATTTGTTCACAATTTCATAGATTTTAAAATTTTTGCCCAAAACCATATCCCATGAAGAACACTCCTAATGAAATTATGGGTTTGCACAAAAAAATTAAAACAAATGAAATTGTAAACGAATCCATACACCAGAATACAAAATAAGCAGCATCACCTGTACCTAAAATATACTCAAAAATAAGTACAAGTGTCACCTGTTGCTGCAAGGTTTCCCAGCGCTGGGCGAGCGCGTCTATCTCCGCCTGTATCCAGTTGGGCATGATGTGGGCGTCGGCGAGCTGGCGGCCGACCGCCTCGATGCGGTTCATGCGCTCCTCGTTTCTGTTTGACACGTAGTTCTCTAGATCCTGGTGAAGGGATATACATACAATTGTGTTTCAAATTCATCTATACTTATATTATAAAGAGGTAAAGTTTGTGAGTTTGTGGGGTTGTAGGGGGTAATCTCTGGATATATTGAACCGGTTTAGATCGAATTTGGTAAGAAGATAGTTTGAGACCCTGGGCGGGACATAGGGTATTTTTTATCTCGGAAATCATCCCTTAAGGGGGTGAAGATGTGGAAGAAAGTTTGTATGGGGAAGCAAGCTAGGGATGAACCCGAGCGAAATGAGGGTGAGTTGCTTAGTGGTGCATATATTATTGAAGTGAAACTTTTTTAGGCGCGCCTTTAGAGGGAAAAAAAGGATTGGTGTTATGGTTTTTGTAACGAAAACAGTTGTTACGGAAGTAAATAAATTATCAATTAAACATTATTTAAACTAGTATTTTAATTATTTCGATAGAAATAGATATTTATAATAAAATATTTCTTTCATATTTTATATTTAAAAGAGCGATGGGGTCATATTGAAAAAAAAAATTGGGAAAATTTTTTATACATTATATTTGTTTTTCACTAAAAAAAGTAGCATATACCCTTCTTCAAGGTCTCATCTATTTCAATACGAAAATCCATCAAAACTGGTTCATCCATTTAAATGTGAAAACGTAATAGACAAAAAAAATACTTTCGCATGTACAGTATTAAATATATATAAATATATACATATAATAAATAATTGTATTAACAAATACAACAAATCAATACTTCCTTAGATTTACACGAATATTTGACATTTTAAATAAAATTATCTTTTCGGATCACAGCAATCACGGTCACGGGAGTCTCTCCAGTAGAGGCATTCGAAATGTCGGGAACCAAAAATCAAAACAAATCCGCGAAACAAACCGAAAAGATAGTATACTTGAAAAAAAGCAATCCTTCAAAGCCACGTACATATAGCTCGTCGGAGATGTCCTCTGCGTCGGCGCGCGCCGGTCGCGGGCGCGCGAGGCGGCGCCGCAGCCCGTCCAGCCACGCCGCCTGCTGCGCCAGCGCCGCGCGCAGCTCGCCCGACTCGTGCCACGCCTCCGCCAGCACCCTGCCACGGCACACCATTGTACTCAATAAGTTGTTACTGTGTTCACGACACACCCTACGCGCCGTGCCGGCGCTCAAGGGTTCGACTCCCGCTGGTGGCATTCGTTTGTGTTAGGAGCACGAATGTTTGCACTCCGGTCATGGGTGTTTATATTTATAATATGTATTTAAAGTTATATATGTGTAGCGTATCGACTACCTGGTATCCATAACACGAGCCTCGTAGCTTCCTATGGAACTAGACGGTGATGTGTGTTAATGACCCGACATATTAAATTTATCTATATTCAGCCCTTTTTTTACGTCCCACTGGTGGGTACGAAACTCCCTTCGATACGAGGCGGATCGAGTCATACTCCACCAGGCTGGCCAAGTGCGGGCAGACTGAGCACGTCATTCGAAAACTTGTTAAGTTCTCTCACACATGCAGGTTCCCTCTAAATGTTTTCCTTCACCGTAAAACAAGTGATTAATTATGTTGGAAATGATTCGCGCATAAAAATACCAGAGGTGCGAGATTCAGTATTTGAACGCGCATCACTCGGTTTCCCAAACGAGCGCGTCACTGCTGGGCTACTACTACCTCTGTTAACAGTATTATTTGTCTAAACGACTTATTTACCGAATGAGTTTTTAGTACAGAATTACTGATTTTTTTATTTTAAATGCGTTTTCTATCTTATATATATAAAAGAAAGTCGTGTTAGTTACACTATTTATAACTCAAGAACTGCTGAACCGATTTGGCTGAAAATTAGTGGGGAGGTAGTTTAGAACCAGGAGACGGATATAGGATACTTTTTATCCCGTTCGATTGCGTGTCCGTTGTGACGTGACATAAAACTCAAGAACGGCTAGATATTTGAATTTTTGGATTTCTTAGTTAGTACGGAATAGGATAATAAATATTAAAACATCAGAAAAATCTACGAAAAAAAAATATTTAAAACGTACCTAGCGACGAACCCGAGCGAAGCGAGGGTGAGCCGCTTGTATAATATATATTTTACTTTAAAAACACGAAATAAGGTAAAATTATTATCATGATATTTACACCGAGACTAACAAATTATCCTCGCTTCGCTTTTCGACACAAAATGCCTAACAATAACCTGTATTACTCAATGTCAAAGCCTACCTGTGTGATAAATTTCACTTCATTTTATACTAAGTCAATAAAACGATATAAACAAAACTAACTTATATCTCTCGTACACAGCGTGTGTGGAGCGCGTCCAGCTCGCGTTGAGCTGCGTCAGGCGCTTGGCGAGCGCGGGCGCGCGCTCCGCTGCTAGAAGAGCTTCATTACCTATAAAAAAATTAATTAAATTTTTAAATCTCGACTCACCCTCGCCCCTAGGTACGTTTTAATTATTTTGAGCGAAACTCTAATTATTTTCCTAAAATAAAAGTAGCCTAAGATACTCCTTATAACATCAGCCATCTGCCAGTAAAAGTCCCGTCAAAATCAGTCCAACCGTTTCGGAGATTAACCGGAACAGACAGTTTTTTTTTTTTTTAAATTGTACTTTTCTTTTAAGCACCGTATATAATGTTATATGCATTTAGTAAAAAGCTGTTATTTTGACATTACAAACAAACACTTCAATTTTATTTATCGGTATAGATTATTATTATATTATTAATAGTTAAAGTCAATACGAAATTAAAAAAGTATTAAAAAAAACTAACCATCCTCATTCAAATTCCTAAACTCAGGTGTTTTTTCATCGCACTTGTCCTTTAGAGCTTGGAATCTAGTCTTCATCTGGTACAATTCTGCCGAATCCGTTATATTACATTCATCTTCTTTTGGCATTTCTTCGTCTATTTTGACTAACCACTCTTCCATTTCATCTATTCGTCGGATCAAATTCTCTGTTCTTTCTAGCGCTCTTCGTAAATTCTCGTTGAGTTTTAACGACGAATCTGTGATTGTATCAAATCTTTTGGTAAGATCTTTGTCAGATTTGATTGTTTTGGATAGAACATCGTCGCAATCTTCTAATATAGTTTCTTTGGTCGCTTCAATACTTTCTAGTTTCGATTTATACTCAGATTTCTCTTCGTCAAATTTCTGTAATTAAAATTAATATAATAGCAGCAGCATTTATTGCTTATAAAGAAAATAGCTAAAATATTGATTGTCATTTTGGAAGACATTAAGTAAAATGATAAATTATTAGAAATTAAGCCGTAACAATGTAAAGTACATTATATTTTTTACTACCGACTGAGCCTCGCTTCACTCAGATAGGTTATGAATAGATAAAAATAGTTATTTGCAAGACTCAGAAACCCGTTCAATTTTTAACCGGTTTTGGACATTGGCCCCAAACCGAAAGGCATTTTGGTTTAAGGTTTCGGTTACGTTCTTTAACCGGTTAAATCCGGGAGAACGGTTCTTGACGAATTTAAGTTATATAACCAAAATTAACCGGTTAAAATGAGTTTTTGTACGTTTACATTTGGCGCGTCTTTGCTAATGGTGAATGGCTTAATAATAGGATACATGAACGTTTCTTACTAATTAATGAATTAACCGGTTTATTTCGGTATCAAAATCGAAATCCAACCTTTCTCTGAGAATAATCGTTAACTATTATTATTTGGATTTATTAAGATGTTCGTTTTCATTAACCGGTTAAATGAACGATGAATTAACCATTACATTACCGAAATAACTCGTTTTTTATAAACCGATTCCGAGTCCTGATTATTGCAAATGTTAGGAGATACACACACGGTATATCGTAGTCGAATTTTGCGTAATTTCTAAAGGTTTTCGATTTTCATGCTGAAACCCTAAATATTTTTACAAAAAAGCCCTATAAACTGCTCTAAGTTTCAGTGAAAGCCTCATTAAAATCGGTAAAGCCTTTTAAAAATTACAGCAAACAAACAGAAAGACAGAGAAACAAAAATTTTAAAATGGCTAAAGTACGAGTTATATTATACCAGTACCTAAATACCGAATCCTATAACTCTATATACTTGAGAAAACATAGTTATTTTCAAATCACAGACAGACACTTTATTTTTATTTATATGTACAGATCTGTTAAAGTAATACATACATTGCTAGTCTCCAACAACTTTTCCAACTCTTGCACATCGCCGAGTGGTACAGAAGTGTTTTTCTCAACAAACGTTTGTACAGAATCTAACCATTGACTCAGTTCACGTTGTTCACTTTCTAGCTTGTCTACTAGTTCAATACCTAGAAATATAAGAGAGACAAATAATTATCTTATATTATACTTTATAAGGCAAGAAAATAAAACGAATTCAAATGATATTAATTATTAAAAAACAAGTCAAGTGAGAGTTTGATTCGCACACGAAAGGTTCCGTACCATAATAGTGTTTTTAAAATTTGACTGGCGGCTAGTTTGTAGTTCGCCATCCAGATCTTTTATTATTTGTTTTTAGAGCAGCAACAGAAAAATACATTTTGAAAATTTCAACTCTCTACCTACCTTCGGTACAGAACCCTTAAAAAACTAATCATACTTATAAGATGGAATTTTTACGACAAGTTCACTATAAATATTTCAAAATATGCACTATCTTTCTAATTGTATATGCAGAATCTATTTCCAAATAATATTTATGAGAATTATAAAAATTATCAAAAACATACCTTTCTCGAGCTTAGTTATCTTTTGCTCCAAAATAGTTTTCGAATCAGAGAACCTCATGACCAGATTTTCGACACTACTTCTCAAATTCAACTCTTGAACGCTACCTTTTTCATACTTTTCACGTTTTTCCTTCACAACTGTATCATATGACGATTGTAAATCATCAAACTGTTGTCTCATTTGCTGTAGTTCCTCTAATTTCTCATTCATTCTTTCTTTTGAGGATATTATTGCATGTTCTGAGATAATTTGTGACTCCATATCTTCTATTTTCTTCTGGACCGCTTTAAACTCCCCTTCATTTTGTAAGGTCGGTATTTTCTTGTTCAGTGCTATTTTTATTTCAACCTCCCTTTTAGTTAAGTACAAAATAAGTTCTTCGAAAGCTTCGTTAATTCGTTTCGTATCTCTCTCGATTTCATCTTTATGCGATTTCGATATCGATTTCGTGAGCAATATAATCGATTGTGCGTTTAATTCTTTAAGTTTCATTTCTAATTGTTTGACTGCACGTATTTTATTTCTTAGATGAATTAATTGATTGTTTGTTGCTGGTTCTTTGAGCATTTTGTCTTTCCACGTGTGAACGTCGTCGACTTCTTGTTGTATTGCATTTAAGTTTTTATAGAAGTTTTCTTTATCTTCGAGTAAATTCAGCATGTTTCGTATATCGAGGAGTGTCTTCTGTATGCCTTCCCATCGTTTCTTTAGTTCTTCGATACTGTTCGCGTGTAATTTTGCCTCTTCTGTAAATAAAAAATCGATTTGAATGTAATAGTGTTTATGTAGCATAGCTGAGCATATGTTAGAAATAGGTAGGGTGATGTGCAATGAGTGTCACCCAATTTGTGGTACTGTTCTGTTTCATCATTTAGCTCTTTTTAACATCCCACTGTTCCATGCGAGGGGATTGAAGATATATATTTTCAAGATTCATAGTCTACTACGCTGGCTATGCGCGACCAAAAATATTTTTAAGAACTTGTGAACTTGTTAAACATTTAAAAAAAATCTGTGAAATTTGGTCCCCATGAAAATTGATATTTTTGACAACCCTTAAAAATCAAACACTGTTCTTATACCGAGTCTCGGATTGAGCCAAGTTTAGTTATCCAGTCTTACTGTATAGTGAGCCTCAGTAACAGCCCGGAGTTGGGAAGTTGGCGGTGTTTCACCCCCGTGCCGAGGCAGAGCACGTGTCGCGTCGGTCCTGCGCCGACACTCTCACCGCGAGTGTCGAGTAATCGTCCCACCAGAGAATAGAGACGGCACGTTCTGTTTACACGTACACTTGTGCACTATAATATCTCCTACGTCAGTCTCAGTGAGATCGGTCGCCGAGTTCAAAACCAGTCAGGCGGATTAATGTCCTACCGACCTCTATTTTTTTTTATTTCATCGTATCGACTATATGATGTCGCTGCGACTATTGTTGGTCTACTGTGACACCAACCTCTGAGCTCGGAGTCGGCCGCCAGGCGCCGCTGTATCTCCTCGACGTTGGCGAAGTCGGCGCGCTGCTCCTCGCTCTCGCGCTGCACGCGCTGCAGGCGCGCGCGCGCCGCCGAGCGCGCCGCCGGACTCGAGCCTGAGCTTAGCGATTGCAGACACTGGAATTTATTATATTTTATATTATTATTTATATAATACTCTAGCAGAACAGAAAAATGCTGAAACACGTATTTATTCAATTACATTGAAGAGCATTAATACCGACTTTGAAGTACTTCTGATAATAAATATTTTTTGGGTTGTATTAAAATGTGTTTTCCCGTAGGATTTAAATAATCTCCCTCGGTAAAATGTAGCCTATGTCGCTCTTCAGCCCTCCAACTATCTCCATACGAAAAAATTACGCCAATCCGTCACTCTGTTTCGACGTGAAAGAAGGATAAACAAACAAACATACTCACATTTATAATATTAGTAGGGAAGTATGGATATACATAATACTATACAGATAACGATATCATCATTGATACGGCCAATAAAACTTTGAATTAAAAATAAAATAGGAATTTCAACACGAAATTCCAATAAGCAAATACTCATATTTAATAATATTTATAAAATACTATTTATTTAAAACATTCATCATATCAAAAACAACTTAATACTTTAACTAAATTAATATAAAATGTTGACGCAGTTATTAACACTTGACAACATACTACACATTATAAATGTATAAATATCAATTAAAAATGTCTTAAATTATCTTATTTATTACATAGAAAAAACAGTTTATCTATATCATTAATAATATATACACATTAAAATATCAATTAAATAAAAAAAAAACAAAAGCAAATCTCACTTCATTTAAAGCCTTCTCCGTAGCCTCAGCCCAGTTATCAAACACTTTGTACCCGACTTGGAAGTCCGCACTAGACTTATCACTGAGCCTAGGTTTCTTATTTCGATGGTCTAGTTCTAGTGTTGTGACTGTTGTGAGGGTCGTTGATTCGCCAGTGGTCGTTTCTGATGTTGTTACGTCAAATTCGAAGCCCAGCTCTTTGATCTGTAATGGCGATGAAAATAATATATTTCTTATATATTATTAGATTTTTTTTATTGTGAAACTTAGAAAATATGTTTGGGTAAAAATCATCCCATAGACTTATTGCTAATTTCTTCCTTAGTCTTTGACTACTTTGACTATAAAATACATTTCTTTAAGTAAAAATTAAATTTTTTTGTTATAAATGTTAAAATTTGAACATATTGGATAAAATTTAACCAAAATTATTTTAATAAGCCTTTTAAATCTAACATACCTACTAGCTTTTATAGCCTACTTTTTCCATTAACCGTTTCAAGTATCAAATAAAAAAAACTACTCACAAGTATTAAAAAAAAGGATATTCATATCAGAAAGTTCAAAAGAGAAAGAATAATTTTATTATTAAGTTGATATATATTTTTATAACAACAATGAAGAATCATTATAATTACCCTGTCACCCTGCACACGCAGTATCAACTCCAAAGCGTCCAATCTGTCGTGTAATTCATCGGCCGTATCCACCAGCTGCTCAGCGCCGTCAGCCGCTTGCAGCCGCTGCAGCAGCGCCGCGAGCCCGCGTCTGTGCGCCGTGAGTGCAGCGCTGCAGCGCTGTAAAGCGGATATCCGCTCTAAGACCTCGCCTATTTCGCTGGCTGGATACGCTTCCATCTGTAAGCAATTATTTTCAATTGTAATACTAGGTTTATCTTTATATATAAAATTATGGTGTGTGTGTTTGTAATTTGTCTCTCTTAAGCTGTTTGACTGATTTTGATGATTTAGTTTTTATTATGATTATATACTAATGCAGTAATCTGGATTGTTTTCCTTTTGTTGTTGGCGTTATTGTCGAAATCCAAAATATGAACTTTCTGGTCAATATTTCTTTATATTAAGTTGTCTAAGCATAAAAGTAACGAACGAATAGGATATCACACAATCCATCAATTTAGCATTTCAACCCACCTGTATCAGATCCACTTCAACAACAACTGTTGTATAATATCAGCCACGAGTTTTTGGTGTTGCAATGTTATACAGCACTTTAAGTGACTCATAGACTAGAGAGCAATAAACAAACAAAATACACAATTCATTGCTCTAACGCTTTAACCCACTTGCTTCTTATTTCTTAAAACTTGAACGCGTCTCACAAAAAATGATATAAAAAAACAACATACCTGCTTCAAGTCCACCTCCACCTGGTGTATATCAGCCGTGAGCTGGAGCTGCTGCTGCTGTAGCGCCGCGCAGCGCTGCAGGCGCTCGAGGCGCGACAGCGTCCACTGGCACGCGTGAGACCACCTCTCTCCGAGTGCACGGAGCTGGTCCTCTATTTCCGATACACCTGGAATTTTTATAAAATTACCGGTTTTTATTCGCAACTTTGCTTGTGTTATAAGTACATAGTACATACTACATTGTAAAAATGTGTTAATTAAAGATAATTTTGAATTACATTTCAACAGCTTTAGGATTGACGGATACAACAACTACCAAGTTACACTTGTCACGAGATGGCATTCACCATGGAAAACCATTCACCATGTATTAAAAAATATAGATTTTCTACAAAATCAATGGGCGATCGCTTCCTGTTTTATACTATGATAATATAGTGATTTAATAATCCTTACTAACATAATACTATAATTATACGAGTAAAAAACTTACTCGCATCCTGAGCATCATCATCATCAACAACTAGCACGCAGTCCGCCAACGCGTCCACTAAGGGCTGCTGTCGACGCAAGTCACTGTGCAAGGCCTTAGTACTTTCTAGAGCTTTGGACGGATCCTCGTTCGCAGACTCCATGTGCGACATGCGGTCTTCCGTAGATGTTAACCATTGTCTGTTGAAATGTCATTGTTATCTATTATATCAAAATGTACGACTTTGTAAAAATATAATTAAATTTATAATTGTGTATGACGTAATGACGTACTATGACGTGAACCAATTAAATGATTGGTTTTCATCAATATTAAAGTTAAAAATTAATGTATATCTTCTTATTAAATTATCCGTAACTAAATACACTAAAAGAATACATCTAATAAATTACCAGTTTAACTCGCAATGAAATTATATAATAATATAATATAAAACTTAAAGGCATTTCACAATCACGCCTTTGCCCATAAAACAAACAAACCACAAGCTGTCAGCTGTCAATGTGACGCACCTGAAATCCTGCAGCTGGTGGTGCTGCGCGCGCATGAGCGCGCGGTGCACGCGCGCCTGCTTGTCCATGGCGCCGAGGCGCAGCTGCTCCCAGCGCTGGTTTAGAAGTCGCATTTGGAGACGCACCTGGGATTTCATATAAAAAAATATAATATGTCTTTGTTTTAAACAAAACTATATGAAATAAAACTATTATGTTGTTGGATTTTTTCGTAGATTTATTTTGATTTTTTGCTCCCGACGTTTTTAATGCTTCAAAACAACCATGGTCACGGGAGAGACTCTTTCATAGTTTTATTTAAAATATCAAATATTTGCGTAAATCTAAGAAAGTATTATGTAATACGTTATTGCATGATAATACCAGTGATTTAGCCTCGCCAAACTTAGGAACACGCCTAAAAGACATGAGATATTCTTTTGCAAAATGTTTCTTAAATATTATTTATAGCCTTCTTAGTTTATCCCTGAATCTGTTGATTAAAACCAATTTTGAATATATTGATGAAAACCATATGAAAATTCATACAATAATTAAATTCTGAGATAAGCCCAAACAAACAGAAAGTTAACTTTAATTTATAATATGTAGAGATAAGCAAAGGCATTATAAATGACGAGATAAAGACGACTATATTCATTTCTTGATTTCTTCTTCTATTTCTATTATTAAATTCTCATTCAAAACGTTAAAAATCTAAAATAAAAAATATATAAATTAAAAATATGATTTGTACAAATGTAAGAAAGTATTATAAAATAAATAATACATACTTCGTTAGCCTCATCTCGTGACAGAGCTTGGTCGCGAACAAGTCTCGCGCCCTCTTCCAACACCGCCCCGACGCGACATTGCTGTTCTGAGAGCTCCAGTAGGAATTTCTGGAAAAAATGTTTATTCATATGAAAAGCTGATAATACAATATATATATATATTGATATATATGTGATGTTGATGTTCTCCTGACCGATTCCGGCCACGGCGGCCAATCTCATTGAGAGTAGCCAACTGCGCAGGAGATATTATAGTGCTCAAGTGTACGCGCAAACACAAGTGCACTCTCTATTCCTGTCACTCTCATACTCCGGTGGGACGACTGCTCGACACGACCAGTGAGAGTTAAGGCGCAGGACCGACGGCTTTACGTGCTCTCCGAGGCACGGGGGTGAAACACCGCCAACTTCCCAACTCCGGGCTATTACTGAGGCTTACTATACAGCAAGACTCAGTAACTAAACTTGGCCCGACCCGGGACTCGAACCCAGGACCTCCGGGTGTGCAGCCGTACATGCTAGCCACTACACCACCGAGGCAGTTACCATATATATGTACATCTGTATTGATACAATTACTAGAGGAGTGTAAATGAATGTGTTCTTTCAGAGCAGCCAGATAATCCCCTGGTCCATCACCTCCTCTAGGAAACTCCATCCAGGAGTGCCGCTAGGATATCCTCTAGAGCCACTCCATACCAGCTCCATTAAGCCAAAGATTGATATTGCAACAATAGTCCAATATTTATTTATTTATTTTTATTTATTTATTAGCTTATAAATTATAATACATACCTCATGTGAATGGAAGTGTTCTTTCAAAGCAGCCAGATACACCCCCGGTCCGTCAACACCGCCCTCCTCTGGCAAGGGGGTAGCATTCAACCGCTCCTCTCCATCCAGGAGTGCCGCTAGGGCGTCTTCTAGGGCCGCTCCGTACGCACCGAGCTCTACTGAGCAAGTGGTCGATATTGAGACCGGCCGGGACGCGGCCGCGCTGCCGGTGCCTTGGATCTGTGGAATTGGTTTTTATAAGAAAGGAACCATCCTGAAAACTTAACATTAAATATGTCAAACAATACTCTATTTAATGGAATAAACGAAAAAGGTACTAAATGATGTAACTATATTTTTAAAAAATAATCGCCTTTCAAACTGAAGTCCTTAAATATGTAAAATAATATTCTATTTACATTAAAAAACGATATTTGATTTAAACTGTATTATCTATTTAAGCTTTAAAAGCAAATATTGAATATACAAAAAAATATACACTTACAATACATGTGATAACTGATCATTGCCAAATATTTGTATGAGGAATGTAAGCAAAAGTAAGAAGTATTTACTGTCACATTACGCTTTAATATAGAAATAAATAGAATTAATTACATACTCAGATCAAATCACACATTTTCTTACCCATTGCTCACAGCTCCATAAACAGTTAAACTGAATAATTAATTAAGCAGTATACCTCAGGCCCTTCGGTAGGACTGGTGGGCTCATCCATTTCTGAAAGGGCTACTTGGTCGAAATTCTCTTGCTCCGTACTAACTGGCTCATTGGTGTTAGTCAACAGTTGAAACAGGCACATGACATACATCATTATGGACTTCTTGTCTGGATTTGGGGTATTTACATCTGGAAATTAATTGAAATAATGTATGGTTAATTATAACAATATGTAACTATATATTTATTTTGTACGAAATTTTCATATTATAATAATTTAGTACTTTTATTGTCCCACTTGTGGACACGCGCCTCTTCTGCCACGTCGGCAAAAAAACATGTTACAAAGTAGTTTTTACTTTTTAAAAGCTTATTTTTATATAAAGTATATGGGCTAGAATGTTACATACACTATGCTTATAAGGTACAACCCCTAAGTTTGAGATGATTGTTAGTGTATGTCTTGTTGGTGTTAATAAATAAATAAATAAATAAATAAATAAATGTGATTTTAACTTATTATCATAAAAATCTCTAGTCTGCTGTCTGACTCATATTTATAAATCAAAACAAAACCAAGATATATTGATATATAATAACATACATACACGCTTCCTAACAAATACCTCTTCAAAAATTGGCGTCGATATGTAACTAAAGAATAAAATCAAAAATTGAAAGTTCTACATAATTGTCTAAACACAAATTCGAACTTACGCAAACCGCATAAAGTACTTTTTTAAACGAAACAACGAGCGTTTTAGTTTTGTCACCCGAAAAGCAATGAATAAAAGAGCTTTAAAAAAAGCGCAGTTCAATTTCGTATAGTGCACTTATTTTGAGGAGACTTTTGAGACGCTAATTGTATATCTTGAGTTTTTGTACATCAATGCCAAGATCTATACAGATAAATAAAATTGAAGTGTCTGTTTGTAATGTCAAAATAACAGCATTTCTCTAAATGCATATGAAATTATATATGATACTTATAAGAAAAACACAATTTTTAATTTTTTTGTCTTTCTGTATGTTTGTCCCAGATAATCTTTCTCTGAAACGGCTGGACTGATTTTGACGGAACTTCCATTGGAAGATAGCTGATGTTATAGGGAGTAACATAGGCTACTTTTATTTTAGAAAAAGAATTAGGGTTCCGCTCAAAACATTAAAACGTAACTAGGGACGAATCCGAGCGAAGCGAGGGTGACTCGCTAGTATTACTTATAATTAACATTAAAAAAACATACCTTCAGGATCCAACAATCGATCAATATTCATATGCCTCTGCGCAAGCGCAAACGCATGTTCCAATCTCTGGGCGGGCGTCAGTCGTAGTAGCGTCGTGAAGTCGAATAGCTGCGGCCTAAAGTGGTGCAGTAAGGCGTTGAACGCGAGACCGTCCGACCACGACGAAGTGAAGTTCTCTATTCTGACTCCAGTGTAGTTCTAGAAGAAAAATATCATTTTTACATAGTTATTTAAGAATTTGGTGGTTGTTGCGTGACGATGAAACACAAATAAAAGAATATGTTACGTCACTGATGAAATTGTAATAATAAAGTCAACTCACACGTAAAAACAGTACAGAAGGAAAGTTTAGGGAAATACACTATGACGCAAAGAGTTACAGTACAAACATATAAAGTCCACATAGAATATCTCACGAAAACGATTAAATTATATAAAACAAGTAAGTCGCATCAAAGGCAAAGCATTGACTGCTTGTTAGGAAAAATGTTATTAGTGGTCGGTAGAAGCAAAACAAATTCCGATCCACTATATACTACCGGTTCCGCGCGGCTATGCTTGTCGATTTAATATAATATGAATAATTGATAATAAATAAATATAAATAATTATGTATACGTGTTGTATGTGTGTATGTAGGTGAGTAGATAATATAAATACGTAAATTAAATATTTAATAAAATATAAATATTATGGAATGAACAGTTTAATATATAAATATGAGAAATTAAATAAATTATAGTATAAGTCACCTACAGAATAAACAGTTTGTATGGAATAGATAGACTACAGTACATATACATAGGTATGATGAGTTATTGTGGGTTGTATTATAACGTGTTTTATCGTGGGAATTATATAATCTCCGGTGGGCTTTGCCACTCTTCGGCCCTTCAACTATCTCCACACAAAAATGATGCCCATCCGTCACTCTGGTACGACATGAAAAAAGGACAAACAAACAAACTTTCACGTTTATAATATTAAGCATGAACTTTTAGAAACGTCGAATTTTCAGAGCGCCTTCGTCGCGTATAAAGAGCGCAAGTCATCTCCACATATTCTCCACATATTACACATCGACAGCGCATCGACAGCGCGTTAATGAAGTCATCGAGTGCATTCCCTTATTATCTTGACTCGTAATAAACCATATTTTGGAAGATAACTACTCCCAACTCCTAAGTGTCGTATCCGTTTGAAAGTTTGTAAAGTCTAAATGAAAATACAATAATTTGATATCAACTGCAAGAAATATTTTGTTAAAAATATATTAGTGATTTCAGTTTTACTTTAGATTATAATTCAAAGTGACGATGAAGTGTGATGAGTTACATATTTTATATCTATACCTACATTATATTTCATAGTCTAAACTATAAGGAAACAATATCAATAATTCCTTTTCATTTAATTAATCTAGTTTAGTGTTGTTGATAAGCATACCACTTGAAAACGGTGTAGCTATTTTTTAAAGTATTCGAAATAGTCGTAGAAGCCAGGAAAATTAGGAAATTTGGTGTACCTGAAATGCTGCTTTAATTTACAGAATTATAAACTTAAATATAATAAACAATATAATGTTGAATATAACATTTCTGTTACATTGTCAAATAGTATATAAGAATAAAAAGAAACTTATTACTATTTCAATACCTGTGTATGAGTCCTGCACCAACCCAACAATGCCTTCTCGAGGTTAGTTTGCTGAACTTCAGGCATAAGCTCCTTTAGGTGATAATGTACTTGCCAATGCAAAATTATACTCCATACTAGACCTGCGAAAATAACGCATCAACATTTTAATAAATATCTACAATTTAATATTAGTTACTTAAAAAATATTTAAATTAAATTTAAGCATATTTTTTTACATATAAGTCCTTTTTTTCAGATTAGATCTTATATAAAGATGCACTTTAAGCTAGTTGTAATGTAACAATACAGTAGGAGTGGTACATGTAGGCAGGTCCCGGTAGGTTATAGGTAGGTAGGTAATACGGAACCTTTCTCCAAAACAAATTCGGGGCCCAGCTAGACAAATATATTATATAAAATCTACATAATCATTTTTTTTTATTAATAAGAAAAAAGTTTTTAGTAATCCCTATACATAGGTATATATCCCTATACATAGTATACATCAAAAATTGACCCTGTATCATATTTTATTCTTTACTATAGCTAAGTATTAAAACATCAGAGAAACTTTTACCAAGTATAAGCTTCGGGTTGCCATCAACAATATCGCCGCTGTTTATATTGACGAGACGCACGCCGGCCGCGGCTAGCGCGTGCAACGCCGCATTCACATTGTTCAAGTGATGGACACGCATGCGCCCGCGTTCGCGTTTCTGGAAAATTTTATAATAAAATAGTAAGTTCGAGCCAGTTGCAATAGTTTAACTGAAATAATATTATAAAGAAAATGGTTTAATTTTTTAAATGTTTGTTTTATTGTATTATTCCACGCAAAATATAGTCGCTAATTTCATAACCATCGTGATAAGGCACAAGATTGACAATCACAGGTGCCCGGGTTCGACTTCCGGTCGGATACAAAGTTTTTACTTATATTTATTTTTTGTATTTATTCAAGTTTTTAGTTTTTTCTATCAGCTATACAATACCATATAACAAAAAAGAACTTAGCCCAGGTACTTAATCCTCATGCCTTATCCAATTAAATAATTTCATAATCAAGGTTGATTATGTACACGTAAATAGTACCTCTTTAAATTATTCGAATCGGACCTTTCGTTCAGATTTATTACGTACCCAAGCAAAGAGAGAGTAAGTCTCTATTTGTAAATAAACTAAAGAAAACAGTACAAACTGTTAATATTCGCAATGCCAATACAAACATTCGAACTGCAATAGAATGCTAGTCAGTCTTCACCAGCAATATCAATTAAAGAATCTAAGCAAATATAAATACACACACAATAATCAGACTACTATTAAACACGGGAAAGTTTGTATGTATGTTTGTTACTCCTTTACACTGAAACGGCTGGACGGATTTGGATAAAATTTTGTTCACGGATAGACTATAACTTGGTACTCCAAGTACATATAGAAGCGAGGGTAAATCGCAAGTATAAGATAATGGAACATTATGTGCATATATCGGTATAATAACTTACAAATTGTTGCGCGGTGAGGATCTCGAGTAGCGACAAAAGCACTTCCCCATCGCGCAGATCTTGAAAAAGGTCTTCCACAAGCGGCTTGCCAGACTGGAAATGGAAATATAAACATCGTTAGACAAATTACAGCATTACTGTTATTGAATATATTAAAAAGTAAAACATATGAATTTCTTTTTTAAATACATACCTATATAAAATAAATCTAATTTTATCTTTTCCTAGAAATATTTATTCCTGTCCAAAAATTCAAAGCGACTTTGACTTCACAATTCACATAGATTAATGAGTCGGGACAAAAAATATATAAAACATAAAATAAAGCAAATCTTTGTAAAGCCCTAGCAGCGTTTCATAGATAATAATAATAATTCCACTATTATACGAGTAGTTTACTCGTATTTACAAATTCGCTAAGATAATTGCTTGATCAGATGTGTTACTGAAACAACTTCATTTCCTTTAACATGATAAAACATCCTAGGTAAAGACTAACTGGGTATTAAATTATACCTCCAATATGGTTATTACCTGTTGTTAAAGTAACCACTTGAATGAGATTAGGTTCCTTGACAAATTACCTTAGAGAATAATCAACATTACTTAGTCATATATAATTTTCAAGCAAGGGTTTATCTTGTTAAAGCAAATCGGTTAAACCGTTTCTGAAATTAGCGCGTACAAACGAAAGAGAAACAGACAAAAATTAGGAATTAATAATTAAATATATGTAGTATTGTTGATCTAAGCCCCCAATAATAGATTTCCTTAAATATCTTCCATGTACAGACAGCGATCAGTTACAATTTTATTATATGTATAGATGAATTATAATTTGGGAATTGAATACTTTATTTTTTGCCCGTATTAAGCCCCGATGACACCCACAAGATTCATAACCACTAACGATGATGTTGAGAATATTGATACCCAGTCAAGTACCTATATGTCTTATAAGTATGGTTTAAACGAAATTTTGTTCCGAGTACATTATATCAATTTAGTTTAACAAAACTACTATTAGAAAATTCGTTAAGTGTACCCGCATTTGTGTCGAAAACTTTTAAGATTTATAACAATTTCGACGCGTGCATTAGGTACATTGATTACCGACAATACGGGTATAGCACGTTTCTTAGCTATAAATAAATTATTCTATTCCAATTGCACGAAATTCTAATTTCACCTAATCATTTACATTTATGCAAATATAATCAAATTAATGATCGATTTCTAATCATCTTTAGAAACGTAGCGAATATACCTATTATACTTGTATTGATGTCCAATTTCTTACATCTTTTACACAGATAAATAAAATTGAAGTATCTGTTTGTAATGACAAAATAATAGCATTTTACATAATGCATATGAAATTACATACGGTACTTATAAGAAAAACACAATTTTTAAAATTATTGTCTGTCTGTTTGTTCCGGCTAAACCCCGAAACTACTAGGTCGATTTTACTTTCACTGACACATAGCTGGTTGTTATAAGGAGTAGGCTACTTTTATTTTAGAAAAATAGGGTTCCGCTCAAAAAAATTAAACCTAGGGACGAACGAACCCGAGCGTAGCGAGCGTAAGTCGCTAGTTTAATAAATAAACAAATATAAGGAACCTAACTTATTAATGAATCTAGATCTAATTTAACGACTTCTAGCTCACAGGATAATTACATTGCTACTTTTCAGAACACCACACATTCATGTAACGGGAAGCCGCAAATTCAGTACGTTAGTAGTTTCGTTAGGACAATAAAATATTATAACGCTATGGTCGCTAGTGTTCCAGCACAAAATTATATTGTCCTTAATTGCCCGCCGTGCGCGTCGATTAAACTAAAGTTTTTTTATGCTGTTACTACACTTTGTCTAAATTGCAAGGTTGCTATTTCTGTTTGTGCGCTAGTTGTATTCGACTTAGCCGGTCATTTTCATACATTTTTTGCCATAATTCACCACTACTTTCGAAGTCTTAAATTAGTCGAATAACTTAATAACATGTATAACCATAAATTTTCTTCTTTTTAGTATCACTTTTAGAAATCTACACAAAGGAGTCTGACATTAAAACAAATCAAAATTCGAAACTCTCCCACGTAAACAAAACCGCGGCTTACAGCTAATTTATAAAAAAATAAACTTGACAATAAGATAAAACTGACTCCTTCACTCTCACTTCGATTATAGGTTTAAAAAAAACCATACATAATGGATATTTAGTAGACCATAATATAAGCTTTACTATTACAAAAGCTTATACTGGACTATTATTACCAACGGATTTAATAATGGGTATACTTAATAGGTCTTTATGTTTATGATCGAAACACATAAACACCCTTTTTACGATCTACTTACATCTATAATACTTACTAGGTACATACATACTGTACATATGTATGTAATTAATTAGGTAATTTTAGAAAACTGTATTCGAAAATACTTTATAATTGAATCATCTGCTATATACTGATAATAACTTTAAATATTTAAGAAGATAAACATAAGATAATATATTTATAAATAGTTACAGACAAAACAATTCGATAGGTACCTTTTTCTATATTTGTCAACCGTTTTTTTTTTTAATAACTATTGACAAACTTTAGTGCTATCAATAAAGATTTTTTATATAGGTACTATATAGAAATTCGAATCATATATATTTCGACCAAAAGGCGAACACCAGTTACAATAATTTCCATAAAATAGTCAAACTCTCAAAAACACTACACCTTCGCATCACGCTTTCGAGGCCAGTTGAGTTTTATCAAAAGATTAACGTGTCTCATGCTATCGCTACGCCCGCGCTTTGAGCCCATCAATATTAATTAACAGCAAGTGTAGTAACCCGCCGAATAAAAAGCCCAACGCAAATTTATACTGCATGCTGATAAAATAATTGAAACTAATTTACTCCTATTATAATCTAAGGGGCCTAGCCCATATAGTGTAAGATCCGTTTACAGTATTAAACCTTAAGATATAACTAGCGACTCACCCTCGCTTCACTCGGGTTTGTCCCTAGTTTGCTTCCCAATATAAACTGTCATCCCCATTTTCACCCCCTTTAGGGTTGATTTCCGGGATAAAAAGTATCCTATGTCCTTCCCAGGGTCTCAAACTATCTTCTTGCCAAATTTCATCTAAATCGGTTCAGTAGATCCAGAGATTACCCCCTACAACCTCACAAACTCATAAATTTTAGGTGTTTATAATATTAGTACAGATAAAGAACTAATATATTAATTAAAATATTAATAATTTCTATGTAAAATTAGTTTTTTATTATGTTATTCATAGCTACATACATATTTTTGCGTTGATTTGGTCTCCCTACTACGCCATCTTTTACTGCATGAGGTGGGTGGTTTTTAATGATGGATATTTCTCCCGCCAGACCAAAAACAATTTATAGGTATGTAGCCTCATAAAAATTAATCAAATTTGACTTTTAGCTGACATCTACAACCGCGCCATACAGATTTTAGGGATGCGTAGCTAAAGGCAACACCGATAGAACCCTTATAATTACATCACGTTTCGTTTATCATTGTCCGTATATCACGGCCATTTTACTTCGAGACTATTCTTTCTTATGACTCATTAGAAAATGCTGTAGTCATATTAAGAAAAATAAAAAAGGGTAGCACTCCCACACAAGTGACTGAGTAAAAAAAATTAAGCGCACATAACATAGTGGGCTATCTTGGCATGCTAGATCTTTAAAAAGGCATATTTGTTTCTAATTAGTTCTTTATTTAAGTCTATAGTTGCCGAGTTACATGATCAACGTTCATGCAATTGGCAAAGATACGTCGAGTTGAGAGATTTTCTTTGGTAGCTTAGTTGGGTTGTTGTCATACAAACACCGTGAAATAACTTTATTCGAGCTGCTACATAAACAAATATTATTTTATTTTAAATGTCAACAATTTCGTAGATTAAAATTTAATTCAAAACTGTTTAATGAAACCCTCGGGGCGCGAGACTTGCATTTGTTTTAATATAAACGTTTATTACTATACAGTAACAAGTCGTAATGACAACGATTTTGTCTCGTCGCATCGTTAGCCAAGTTTACGACAATACTTTATACGATAGTTTGATGGCTCTATAAATTTTGTAAGTCTAATAAATTGATATGGACCACTGTCTTCCTAAAGCACTTATTTGACATACTTTATAATAAGTCGTAATATACACTAGACAGATATCTATTACAGGGGTCCATATTAACGAAACCAGGATCGCGCGTAAAATATACCATAATATCATAAACTGTAAAGCACTTTAAATAATAGTAACCCATCGTGTTAGCAAAAGCTCAATATAATTTTTTTTAACGCCTTACCTTAGCCAACTGCGAGTTTATCCATTTTGCGAATGTTTTCTTTTGTACGTCCTCTCGTTCGTCTGAAAACAGAGAGGAAAGCTATAATATATTGTACACTTATGTTATGTACTACTATATTAAATATGCATCACGGCTATATATGTATATCGGAGGGTCGATGCAAAGGTTTCGCTCTGTTGCTTTCCTTAAATGAGAATTAAATATCGATGAAGGAAATGTTCACGTATAAGTACGTACATACATACACAATGATCCACATTAGACTATCATATGCTTCTGAGAATTAACACAGCATAATTAGAATAAGGCAGTGTAGCCCGATGGTAACGCGTTCGCTTGAGAAACAAAGTGAAACGGGTTCTAATCCCGGGCCTTGCACCTAGCTAGGGAGAGAACCTAGCAAGTTTTCGTTAAACATACGAAGTCCGCCAGCCCGCAACTGGCCAGCGTGGTGGACTATGGCCGAATCCTTTTCCGTATTGAAGGGAGTCCCGTGCCTAATAATGGAACGTTAAAAAGGGCTGACTACAATAAAATTAATATAAATACAAGTGGAAAGCCGAAAACGTTAAGTAGAATATTTTATTTATTTATTAATCCTTATTTTATAGACACCTTCACAAAAGCATCATCTTCTGATCACTCTGCATATACAAAATCAAGATTAAATCTTTAATGAAGTAAATGTTAGTCATTTAAACAGTGTAATAAGCAAATGTTTGTCGATGCTCCATAGTGATGTATTAAAAAAGTAATATATTTAAAGTAGATCTATCTAAGATTTAAATTAATCAAAACTGTCTTTATCGTTATTTTTAACAACAGCCTTGTAATACGAAAATCTTGAATAGAAATTTTAAATCGATTTTAGTGGAACTTGTTATCTATTAATTATTAGAATCGAATACAAATATATATGTTTATTAGTGTAATAATTAGTACAAATATAAAAATTTCAATTTACATAAATCCTCAATACGGCCATCGTTTGTTTTGAAGCCAACCAAAACTTCCCAAGTCTTCAACAACGTCAGCATTACATAACTGTTAATTGGCACTTGACAATATCTCAATAACACAATAGCAAACGTCTTCGACCAACAACTATCTGGACGAGTTTATTTAAAACCTAGCTCTCAAAATGTGAGGGCTAACAAGACTAACAAAGATAGCTAAGTCTGAGTGGATGCCTAATTAGCAAGAACCCGATAGAAATATTTATCGAGGTCTCGTTATATATACGTTGACAATCTATATAAATAAAAAAGAATCACCAAAATGTATGTACGGGCATAACTTTGGATCGACTGCACCAAATTGGATACCTAATTTCTTTTTTTTTTTATGTTTGTTATTGTCAGGAAGATTTGTATGGAAAAAAATTAAAAGATTTTTTTTTTACTAAAATAAGTTTTTTAAATATCTATGATATGAATAGTGAGTGAGTGAAAGAGTTTTTAGTAGTCCCGGAAATCATCCCTTAAGAAGATGAGAATGGGGATGAAAGTTTGTATGGGGAAGCAAGCTAGGGACGATACCGAGCGAAGCGAAGATGAGTCGCTAGTGTCATATAAATTACTAAATGTATAATATATATATATATTTCTTCACAGTCCGTTTTTGTCCTGTTGGCCTAACACTATTTCCATTTTCCCAAATACCTCATGAACAGGCTACATTGACTAGAAGAGTCCTCTTTTAAAGATACTTGAGTCTTCACACGGGTTTATTAGATTTTAGCGTTTAACACAATTATAAGCTAGGTATATTCATTAAAACATATTTGGCAAAAACAAAGCTATGCTTGGACTTTTAGAAGTATTATTACATTGACAAAACATTCACACATGTTCAATGATGACATGTTTTCCTACATTTTTCTAACTGCAACATTAAATGTTTATTATACTTATAATCATCGTAATAAATATATTATAAAAACATTATATATTATAACTACACTGAGATTTTTAACTAGATATATTGCAAATTAATCAATTAAGAACAATTTTAATGGAGTGGAACTATTTATTATAAAACATATAACTCGTTCATCGTGTGTTATTATACGATCTCAAAATTATTCAGTGATTAAGACATGTTGTGCCGGTGAAAATGTAGGCAGGAAATGTGAGTCGGAAATTACATCGAAAGACGTGCTTGCCTGTTATCGCTACTTCAAACAAATTCAATTTAAACTTTCCTCATTTGAGTGGGCTAGTGGTAACACAAAAGAATACATTAAAAATTTCTACGCTATTATATCTACACTAATACTAATCTATACTACTATTATAAAGAGACAGAGCTGTTTGTTTGTTTGTTTCTTTGTTTGAACGCGCTAATCTGAGGAACTACTAATCCGATTTGAAAAATTCTTTTTATATTATATTGCCCGTTTAATGGGAAGGGCTATAGGCTATATATGTATAATATAAAGTCTATCTATTGGGACGAACCCGAGCGAGTTACTATTTATTCGTTGTGTGCCTACTAATGAGTTCATATTAATTAACATAATCAATTTTGTGCGACAAAAGAAATAGATCAATCCAATTTTCAAATTGAAACAAATAATATTAAGCTAACGAAAAATCATCTTCTAATAACAAAAAAACGTTCGCTAATTAGAATTCCCTGAACATGCAGTGTCCAACAGAAACAATTCGTCAAATAAAATACCACTTTTACTTCATGTTATACTTTAGAACACGTATCACTTTAAATGCAAATTGTGATGCACTCTCACTGACAACTGTTCGAGCATATATCGCAAACTGATACGGGAGCCATGCGGTGCCCGTTAGATTTGCTTCAGCGATCATACATCACCGCACCCATAATGTGGACTTGGTTGACCTCGGCCAAATATTCCAATTCTCTTATTTCAGTAGATTATTCCTAACATCTGTTATATTAGACACTGAAAATCTATACGTATAATAAAATTCTAACTGAATTGAATCTTTACATTACTTAAATATTTTTTTAAAAATCTTATTAAAATAGTCATTACTATCGATACAAAGGCCGAAGTTTTTTTTAGTTTTTAATTTTTTTTTCTTGTAAATGTTTTGTCTGTCTGGAAACGCATCACGAGAAAACAACTGGACAGTTTTGATGAAATTCGGTATGATTATAGCTGGTTATCCGGGTCAACATACAGGATACATTTTACTGCGGTAAAATATCACATCTCTGAGAAATCTAGTATAGATTACCCGTTAAAACATATCTAGGGGCGAAACGGAGCGGAGCGAGGGTGAGTCGCTAGTACAGTACATATAGGTACTATAACCTGGTATCAAAAATAAAAATAGTTTATGCAAACGAACTACAAACACTATAAAGGGACAAAGGTAAATAGCCATAAATTAATATCGATTATTTGCTCTACCAGATATAAAATTGACATTGTTTTCACATTCACAAGTGCTATGGAATTCTTGTTTCTATAAAAAAATAAACAAAATAATAACACTATCCTGAAATTGGAAAGGCCACAGACCAACAATAATAGGATTTAGAGAAGATTTCAACGTACAGATTTAATAATCTAATTCTGGCTTTTGATATTGTCATAGATATTCGTAATAAAGAAAAATATAATGAAATTTTAGGTTGTAGATTGGAACACATGCTAAAGTGATTGCTTGCACGCATGCAGGTTCCGCAAGACACGCTTCATCAGCGAACGAAATGGTTTTACGTCTTTACTGCGACCTTGGTAAGATCGATCATTGTATCCAAATACGTGTGTAGCTAATTTGTAATGCTAATTATGCCGGATGAAGCGGGTTCGATTCCTCTTATATTTGTGCATAGACTAGATTTTACTAACTTAAAATAAATTTAAAGTAGGTACCTACTTAATGCTTTATTACTATAAAATTAAGAATAGGTAAGAGTAATTGAAATAATTGAAGGGTCATAACAGTAATATTAAGTTTCACACACCCTTCTACTATATTAGAGCTTTAAGCTCCATTTTATTAATTATCCAGCATTGAAGAATTTCATACACCAAATGTCACTTAGACACATCTGTAATATAATTTTAAAAAGCTTTGAAATAGTAATTCAAGTATAGATTGCGAAATGTAGCTAAGCTACATGTTTGATGCGCTCCAGCGACCACCACGGCACCTTTACTCGTGGCCTTGAAGTCAACCTCACTGAGAGTTGAGAATTGAAATACTTTATGTAACATTCTTATTTCTTAGTAAAATACTAAAGAGTGGTAAGCATTAAATAGTAAAACTCAACTTACAAAGTTAAGTTAACACACATTTTAAATTATATAAACGTAAAGAGACAACAAAGATACGTGTTTAAAACAAATTGAAAAATTAGTAATTTTATTTAAAATATTGTGATTTTTTTAAGAAATCTTAAAATCTGAAGATTCTTAATGGATTTATTGTAACAGTGGATACACGTATTATTATGCATAAGAGACGATTCATCAGTCCATTTCCTGATGAGCATATGAAGCAGTTCCCGCGGGATATTACTTAGTATATTTTAATATAATTTATACAGTAGTTAGAACCCGAGTGAAACTAAAGCGAGTCACTATTCTATCCAGATAAATAAAATTTAAGTCTGTTTGTAATGTACAACTAACAGATTTTTACTAAATGCTATTGAAAATATACATAGGTATATGGTATATTACCTATAACACAAAAAAAATTATCTGTTTGTACCTATTAATATTCGAAACAGCTGGACCTATTTTGACGAGACTTTCACTGGCAAATACATGATGTTACAAAGAATGATTTAGGCTACCTATATTTTAGAAAAAGAATTAAGAGTTCCTTTACAACAAACATACCCAGGGACGCACCCGGGCGACGCGAGGGTAAGCTATAATATTTCATATGTTTGTAATAAATATAGGTAACAGCATTTTTCGCATAACTAATCTAATTAATCAAATCCTGTACACGTAGATTCGTAAACAGTGCAGACGATAATTGTTCTAATAGCAGCAATTTAGGTTGCTTTTACGACCTAATGGACCTTGTATATTATCTTATGCAAAGCTTATCAC